AATCAGGACTCAGATGGAGACCTAAGGGAGGTTAGCGTTTGTGAAATGCTTTGAACAGCATCTGGCTCATAGCAAGTGACATATTGGGTGCTGGTTAAGTAAATAATGAAAGATGTTAATAAATAGGCTTTCTGTTTCCAAAAAACAGAGCTCTTCCAGCAATCACAATGGTTTCTGTCATGTCCTGTGTAGCAGTGGAGTCTTTGGGGTTTATTAGGGGTCACCTTAGGGACCCCAGGAGAAGGTAGAGCAACCGGGGCTCAAGGCCCACCAACCTCTGTCCTACGCTCCAAACCAAAGCAAATCTACTTTTCCCAGAATAGTTCATCTGCTTGAAGACTTTTGGCGGGGTGGGGAGAGTAGGGCAGAGTGGCAGCACGGGGGAGCAGCCTCAGCAATGGCATAACATGCCCATATTCTCCAAACACTGTTTGGGGATGATGGAGACGTTGTTGGGAAATCGTAACCTGAGTATGAGACAGAGAAATAGCAGTTGCCTAATTTCCGATTGCATTATGTCCCATGGGGTGGGGGAGGGGAATAGGACATACCAGGTGCATCACAGACTGAAGTAGCGCTATCTCCTGTGGGAAAAAGACCCCAGATTTTTAAGTTTGAGAGATGTACATTTAAACCCCAAGCCTTGCAGTGGACAGGATGAGCCTCAGTTTTATCTACAGTAATGGAGCTAACAAACCTCCCTTACAGGATTGCTGTGAAAAGACCTTTTGTTTGATTACACTGCTGCATCCTGGTGCCTGAAACAGTACCTGACACAAGGTAGATGTTTAGGGAATATTTGTTGAATGAAATGACAACTATCAAACTTTCTAACCCAGGATCTGGCTCATTGAAAACACGTTTTCTTCCTGGGAAGATGAATCACCTCGACAGAGACAGCGAATGTTTTTGGAGAAGTAGTGTAGTGAAATAGTAATAATAGGCAACACTTAAATACTCTGTGTACCAGATGCTACTCTATGTGCTCACACATATTAATGTCTGTGCCCTTAGGAGAGTTATTTAACTTCTCTCTGCCTCAGTTTGCCCATCTGTGAAGTGGAGTAATAATTCTGACCTTACAGCTTTGTTGTGAGAGTGAAATTGGTTAATCCATGTATAATTCTTGGAACAATTCCTTGTACATAGTAAATACTCAATATGCTTTAACTCTGATTAGGTTGTAAAATCACTACTCCGTGTTTTACTAATGTGCTGTTCTTCTACATTCAGTTAATAAATACTTTACTAGTTCCGAGATGAGATCAATGTGGGCAATAGGAGTGTTTGCAGGAGACACAGGCCTTAAGCTGGGCCTTCACTGAATTTGGATGGGCAGAGTGGGGTGGGGAGGGAGGCAGTCAGGGGCACAAGTAGTTGGGAATGGGGTGAGAGTCATCCTCCAAAGTGCTCGAATTCTAGCTCCATCCTTTACTAGTTTCAGCATCTGTAAAATCAGGATACTATCTGGTTGTACTATTTGAGTGTTTATACAAAATTACGAACATAAAATTCTTAGCACAGTGCCAGGCACATTGTAAACATCCAATATGGGTAATCCATATTACTGTTACCATAGAAGAAACGGAAGCTTGTGAGACAGTGAGAAAATGAGTCGATTCCATCCCCGAATGGAGCTAGCCATGGCGTTTCAGAGTATATCATTACCTTAGTGATTTTTGCCTACATAAGACCTGCTTAATGGCACAAACCTTGTTTAATTGGACCTTTAAGTTTTAACGGGTTGGATTTGGGGGTGGGAAGTGAGAATTGATTTTTTAGTATACTCAGAATAAATTTTGTGCTTAAATTAGTTCAAGTTCCTATCTTCATAGGAACTTTCTAAAGTACTATTAGAAAGTAAACCAAATAGTAAGTTAGGGGAGAGGTGATCTGCTCTTTCTTCAAACCCTTTCTTTCACGCCGGCAGTGCGGTGCTTCCTCTAAGTCCCCTTGCTGCTCCTGGGACGGACGGGGAACAAGAAGTAGCCTGAGCCAGGTTAAATTCCAGCCACTCCTGGACGTGCTTGGCATAAAAGTCTGGCTCCCAAAATATTTTCTCCGCCTCTGAGGCCTTGCGCTCTGTAAAATCTGAACACAGCGCTCTTTTGGACTCTGCTGTCCACTGCTTGATCCTTTCAGCTTAGGCCTGTCTAACAGGCCTAATAGCAGGAATTACTTTAATCACTTTTTTAAGTTTCTTGTGAAGATCACACATACATTTGGGATGAAAGGGCATTTTCTCAGAGCTTTCCACAAATAAGGGTGGAGTTTTGTGGATTTGTCTGCAACATGCACAAGCCCTGGGTGAAGCAATGGACTTGTCTTCTACAATCTACATTTGGAAATATTGTGAATGTACACTTTTTCCTCCTTATATATGGCACAGAAAATATCCCATCCAAAAAAAGCCCTTTAGAATTTATGCCAAACTGGATATATTCCCCACACTTCCCCTGCCCAAGTGTGGGACTCTCTGCACGAAACCTTCCTGATACAGCAGCTAGCGCAGCAAGCTCTGCCCTGCACTCTCGGAGGTTGTCTGCTGCACTGATTTGAAGCAGCACGTAATGTCCCCTGTTACCCACAGTGTTTGGTCTGTCTCTCCAACTAGATGCAGACTCCAAGGTACAGACCAGGCCTTTAACTCCTCGGTATCCCCCCTCCCTATATAATACGATGAGCTGGCAGAGGCGGCTCTCAGAATCACATCTGCCCTCATGGGACAGTCTTCTTCGTTCTGAAGCAGCTTGACAAGTAATGATTGTGTGATTTTTTTTTCTCCAAAAACAGAAACCATGCCATTCCCAGGAGGCTGGGGTCTGTAATGCTCAGGGCTCAAACACTGTGTTTCCGAGGCTTCCCCAGAGTCTGCTATCAGAGAGTGTCGCAGTGAGCACATCCTGTTATAGAGAAGCTGCCTGATCCCAATTCCAGGCTCTGTTCGGAGTTTAGAGAGCACACGGCCTCAGACAGTTCTATTTATTACTGGTAATTGGATTTGGCAAGGAGAGTTAATTCCTTGTAAAAATACACAGACAACCTATTAAAAGTAACATTCAAAGAAGAAAGTTAAAAATACATAATTTGCAAAAGGAGACCAAATTTCTCAATTCAAATACAAGACTTTTGTTTTTAATTATATTTAAAAATTTTAACTGTTACCAATGTTTATTGGTAACATTGAGGTGGTTAAAAAAGAAGAGTCAGATGTGAAAGTTTAGCTCAATTGCCTCAGAGTCTGAGGTTTTTTTCTTTCTTAAAATTTTGTATACCTTTAAAAATGAAGACTTTATAAATGGTAGAAAGATGAAGTAGGGTTTCCTAATAGTGAATATCCTGAAATTTTAAGCAAATTTTATATACACGTTCTTTGGAGAAAACCCAAAACTGTATTTAGATTCTCAAAGGAGGCTGTTAATCAGGAGAGATTTTAAAACGTAGGTGTTCTTCCTATCCACTACTTTGGTTTGACAAAAGAGGTAGAGACACTTCCAAATTATTTTTATTCCAGGTCCATTTTACATGTCAATGCCTTTTTTCCTTAGTTCATAGTAAACAACAACAACAACAAATCCCTCCATCTTCAAAAGTCTCAAAATTTAAAAGGAGAAAAAGAAAGACCACAGGTAGCATTTATTCAAAGGCTAAACTTGTATAAAAATCCAGGTATCTATGTGGAACTTGACAAGGGCTTCTAGAATTGCTCTTGAGAGCTTTGGCCATCTGGAGGCCTCAGAGGAGTGGGGCTGCTAAGTCATTAAAAAGTGTCCAGTTTTCATTTTGCCTGATTACAAACGCAGTTATCATCTCTCTTCCGCCCCACAAAACCCACGGAGTACTTAACTGACCCCCACACAGTGAAAGCACTCACTGGAGGGTTCATTAGGAGCTGCACCTCTTCTGGACCCAAAGACATCTTCAGACTGCTCAGCACAGTGCGTCTATTACACTCGTTAATGAAAGCGAAAAAGAAGTCGACTGAGCTTGTGGGAAAAGTTCTTACAGAAAATAAAAATCAGAAGAAACACCCTCTAACCAGGGCCACTGTGTGCGATAGTGTTCGTTTCTAAGGACTCTGGCTCATTAATTAAGTAGGGTGGAGGAGAGGCAGCCTGAGAAGAAAAACAGGTTTGCAGTGAAAGCAACTTTAGATTTTGCTCCTGCCGCTGTGCTCACGATTTAAAGCAGCGGGCGACACTCCAGCTGAGAATAGTGGCCACCCCAGTGACAACAGCAGCGTTTGGAGAGCAAATAATTCTAAAAATAGATTTTCTATCTTTTACGCTGAAGGTAGCTGCAGAGCACGATTAAAATCCCAAAGAAAATGGCCAAAATAAAAAATTAAAGAGCCTCATCTGCTGTTCTTTACATGTGCTAAAATATACTTTGCCCCTTCCGTTTTGACATCCAAGCCCCAGTCTGTTACAGAGAACAACACATCTCGTTACCATACTAGAGAAGAAAAGAAGAGGGAAATAACTTATTAGAGGAGCATTTGTTCTTAAATAAACATTTGTTTTGCCTTTTGTCATGTTTTTCCTCCTCCTTGTGTTTTTAAATCTTCCCCTTGTGGCTGAAACTTTAAACAATACCTAGCTTTCGGGTAGACTAGTTACTTCTTTTCCAGTGGCATTGGAAATGTTTTATTCCAAGTAGGATGGTAATTCCCCATAAGGCCATTTGAGAGCACTGGCCTAACATAATTCAAGCTGCCCCACACAAAACCACACCTGAAAACAGTGAGTTAGGAGAACCCTGTTAATTATTCAACCTGTACTTCTTCATTACCTATTATAGTCATAGATATTTGTAGAGAAGTGGCAGGGAGGAAATCACAAATGCTAATATGAGACTTGAAATCTATCTTACTGTTTTCGTAAAGATGCGTGTCTTATAGTACGACCTTCCTATGTGTTCCATATGTGCATATAGACTCTTCCTTCCCAGGTTTTGATTCATATTATTAGCATGAAGGAAGTGATTTCACCACCATGGGAGGGAGTGTGTGCTGGGAGGAGAGGGGTGTATTACACGGATCCTAAGTGAGCTCAGTTCAGGTCTGTTTCTACGTTCAGGAATGGGAAGATTCCACCGTCTCAAGAGGTGCTCACTGCCCTTCTCCTGGGCAGTTAAAAGGTAGGTTGCTTACATAAGGAACTGGATAAGATCTGCTAAGGTTGTGGGTCTAGGACTGGAATCTTTTCTGCAAGGCAGTCGCCAAGCAAAGTACTGGCTGCTGTCAAAGTGAGAGTCCCCTGGGAGAGCTGTCAGGCGGTGTGGGTGGGGGGCGGGGGGCTGCAGCTGATGCAGCCCCAGGCCCAGGCAACGCACGTTGTCCCTTCTGGTGCTCATTCCGGGTCGGGGGCACTGGGCCATCTGCAGAGCCAACTCAGCTCCCAAAGTTCTTGGACCTTCCAACAATGTTCCCCTCAGTGACCTTGGCCGTAATCTTCCTCGTTAGTGTGTGACCCCTGTGATCTCCACTCTCAGGGCCTTTCTTTCTTTTTCTTCTCACACCTTGGAGGGAATCGTTTTTCAGCTGGACAGGAAACCCTGCTTTCCCCAAACTCAACTTTCTAACATTTTGTCTGTGTTCCAAATCCCATTATTCTGCTATGGTCCCAGCTTTGGAAAGCAAAGGTGAACAGGACTCACTTTCTTCCTACACTGTTTTTCTTACAAATAGGATAGTTCATGCTTGCCTAGCCCAAACTATAGGCCATCCTTGCAAGGCCTGGCCTCCCCTGACCTCATCACACTTGTCCCTGTTCTCGATGTTTTTTTTCTGTTCCTTAACTGATTCATGTTCTTCCCCTCTCGGACGGAGCATCTGTGCAGGATGGTGTCCTTTTATCTCCCCTGCCTGGTTAACTTCTATTTACCATTCAAACCTCAGGTCTCAGCTCCTGATGCTTCTTTAGTGACTCCTGCCCTGACCTTGAGACTAGGTCAGATTCCCACTTTATATGATTTTATAGAAGCAGGTACTACTCTTTCACAGGGTGGTTTGTGTCATCATGGAGTCATGTCTGCCTCCCCCTCTGGACTGCCAGTTCCATGAAGGCAGGGACTTTGTTTCACTCTCACCATTAAACCCCTAGTGCCTAGGATAGTGAGTGATACAGGCTCTCATAGAGTAGAGTCATTTTTTTTTCACTACAATATTTAGAGTCATTAGGCTTGAGTCAATTCTATTTGGAAAACCCTGAATTAAAAAGGTAAGATAAATCTGGACCTGTGAGGATTTCTCTAACTGAATAATGGAACTTGGCAGATATTGATCAAATTTGGAAGAAAAAGACTCAAAGGTGAAATTCCACAGCTAAGTATAAGTTGATGTTGTGAAAAAGTTATTAGTCTCAGAGTAGACTTAAATTGTACATACTACATACAGTCCAGGAATGAAGAAATACACTTTTAAAAAAAATTAAACTCTATATAACCACAACCCTCCATTTCCATTCAGTACAGAAAAACAACAAACAGTATTTCCACTTAAATATAACTATCATTTGGTTTAAAACAATTTCTTCTTGTAATTATTCAGTCATTGTGGGAATTAAACTTTCTCCAGCATTACCTGTGGGTGTAGGTGCAGCAACCTGTTACGAATAGAAAAGGCATTATGAAACAGTAAACTAGTCAATATATAGTGGTTACTTCCCCTATAGGAAAAATAAGATTAGACAGATTCTTGCCTCATGCTACACACAAAATAAATCTAAATAGGAAAACAAAACTTGTAAACTAGTAGAAGAGAATACAGAAGAATATTTCATGGCCTTCAGGTAGGGACATGAAGAAAATAATTAGTATAAATAAAAGAAATAGAGTTAAGTGATCTCTGTCTGTGAATGATTACAAAATGATCTGGATAGAAAACATACTCCAGTTACTAATAAGAAACTTTGGTGATGTGACTAGAAACGAAACAGTCAAAAATCACTTACTTGCCTCTACACTAGTAGTAAGAAGAAAAAGGGAAAATACTCCACTTGCAGTAGCAACTAAACCATAAAATATTTAGGAATGAATTAAGAAGGTAAAGGATACATATGGTAATCTGAAACAAATGTGATAATATCAACATTAATTATGTAAATTGGTAAATGTATTGCATATGCTTTCCTATACTTTTTAATTTAAAATTTAAAATTTAAAGTGTGTCAAATTAATGATTATTCTCCTGTGATACTACACATGAGCCTTCTTTTTCCACATTTATCATTGGCTGATTTTACAATAATTGTAAGAAATGAAAGTGGTGGCTGTACATGGACTTGAGCGTTTTTATTAGTTGCTTGTGTTCCCTTACTTTTTGATAAGCAATCATTACATGAACAGTATGAAATTCTCTTAGACATTCACTCGAGAGTGGAGGGCTGAGGCAAACACCTCTCTACAAACCCCTCCAAGAGTTGAGAGGTACAACTCTGGATCTTTGCGGGGAGTTGTCCCTCAATGGGGCAGGTAGAGACATGAAAACGCCTTGCATCTCTATGCTGAGTTATCTCTTTTGCAATACAGAAAATAAGGGGTGGTACCAGCCAGTAACACAAACAATGACTTTGCGTTCACAACAAGGACAGTTTAGTGGCATACAAAGAGGAAGTTAGGGGAAAACAAAGGTCTGGTCTTAATTCCTACTACAACACGACCAAACTTTTCATTGACTTCTTTATTCAACAACCTGCTTGTATTTAATAGGTACTATCAGGGAGCTATAAAGTGTTTATACAACGGTTCTACCTTAAAAAAATAAATAAATAAAACAACCCACCACCTCGTTAGGATTTAACAGCTAAGAAAAAAATAAAAGTGCAGTGAATCCTATCCTCTCCATTTTTCTTCCTGACACACTTGCTGAGACTTCTCTGATCAAGGAAGCTGGCTTCTTTGGACTTAAATTGGGCTAATGCATGAAGACCAACATGTCATTCATAGTACGTTAAACCAGCAAGGCTAGTTTTTCCCCAGTTCAAAACTATGCTATAGTTCCTATTTTACTTGGCAAGAAAGTTTGTAGTTTTCGTAGTGACGGTAAAGATGTTCAACAAAGAGAATCACCAGAGGAGGAGATTTTAGTTCCAGAATTTGAGGCCAAATTTAGAAAACAATCACTTCAGTTCAGACAAGAAAATTTGCATATACACCCATGTAAAAGAAGTTTTAAAAAAAAGTTTGGACTCTGACACTTCATTCAAACACGTATATTTAAAATCAATCCTCTAAAACATTCAACTAATATTCAGCCTTTTTATTTTGAGCTATTATTGGAGTGCAATCTTTTATCTGCATTCTGAAACATGAAAACTCTGAAAAGCTTTTTGTGAGCCATTTGGTGGCAAAAGCTGACCTGATGTGAACTTATTTGACAATAAGCCTATGAAACTGTTCAGCTATTTAGATCCTTTACACATCTGAGTTCATGTGAATGTCTCCTGCAAAAACATTAATGTTTCTTTGTGCAGTGCTGCCCTGGTTGCCTCTGGGGGTATTATGTAATTAGAGTACACACATACAGTTATCTTATTCAAATCTGAGAAACTCTGAATTCTGAACATGCTCCCGGAATTCTGGATAAGGGACAGTAGAAGTGTATTCAGCACAACAAATGTCCTTGGTATGTTCGTTTTGTTAGGTGAAATGTATACCTCTGTTTAAGTCAGACTTTCTGGATTTGAATTCCAGTTCTGTCATTTGTCAGCTTTACCCATACTTAAATTTCCTCAGCAGTAAAATGGGCGTGATGACAGTTGAAGTTATTCTGAGAATTAAGTGAGGTAACACATGCAAAACAGAACAGTGTCTGGTAATTAACATTCAATACATGTCAGCTATAATGATGAATGTATTAATTTATATTCCTGACAACAGTGCACCTAGCTCTCTATGCTCTTGCCTGTTATCATTCTCTATAATCTTATCTACTGTGATAGACCCCCCAAAGATATCTTTGTTTTGCTTGCATTTCTTTGATTTCTAGTGATGTTGAAAACATTTTCATGCTTTCAGTATTTTTATTCTTAATGGTTTTCTTACTGCTTTTTAAAAGATCTTCCCTATTAAAATATTGAAATATTTGCATTTAAATATATTTTCCTAGCATTTGCAAATTTCTTTCCTTTCGCTCCCTCTCCTTTTTTCCTCCCTCCCTCCCTCCCTCCTTCCCTTCCTCCCTTCCTTCCAGAGTTGAATGCCTTTAGGATTCATTTTGATGACTCAAAAAAATATCCTATAGTTAGCCAGTTATCCCAATACCAATTATTGAATAACTCACATATTTAACCACTGATTAAAAACTGTTTTGTTCTTTCATATCAAATTTATTGTTTTTCTAGACCTCATATATTATTCCTTTGATGACCTATTAATTCTCTTTTATATTTTATTTATTTATTTATTTAATCCTCACCTGAGGATATTTTTTCATTGCTTTTAGAGAGGAAGGGGGGAAGGAAAGAGAGAAACACCAATGTGAGAAATGTGGACCAGTTGCCTCTTGTACATGCCTCGAGTGGGGACCAAACCCTCAACCTAGGCATGTGCCCTGACCAGGAACTGAACCTGCAACCTTTTGGTTTATGGGACGATGCTCTAAATAACTGAGCTGCACCTACCAGGTAATTCTCTTTGTTATACCATATTGTTTAAACTTCTGTTAAATCAAATAGTACTTGTTTTCCTAAAAATTTTTAGATATTGATACATAGTATTTATTCTTCTAGGTCAAAATCAGACTTTGCAAAATTTTCGACAAATCTGCATTAGGATTTTGATTGGGATTAAGGTGGAGGAAAGATATATTTCAATATTGAGTCTTCCCACTTATTCAAGGACATTGTATATTTCTACATTGCTTGTTGTTTCATAAACTTTAAAGTCCTTCCTAATAACCGTAGCTGATTAACACATTCTGAAATAGGCATTCCCTTTTAGTTTGTAGCAACTGAATTAATATGTGAATATCTTTATTGGTACTAGGTAGTTGTTATGAACTGGGTGTTTTTGTTCTCTTGAAAAATTCACGTTGAAGCTGTAACTCCAGCCCCCCCACCCCCCCTCCCTGATACGTGCTCACCGGCCTGCAGTGAGCATGGAACACTGTGGATGGCCCGCCGAAACACGAGAAAAACATACACAGAGACAACCAGGTCCTGTGAGGAAACAGGGACAGAACGGCCACTCTCTCTAGTGGAGAGCTTCCCTAAGGGAGAGCACCTCGTTCCCCTGCTTGAGCAGGCTTTTTATTGGGTTCATTTGCACAGGAATTCAGGTAAAGCTCATTACTCATTGCCAGGAAGTAAGGATCAAATAACAAGGAACTCTGAGGGCCTATTCTGAGTCAGGGTCAAAGAGCTGTAAAAAAACTTAAAGGAACAAACTTACTTCTTCCTTGGACCCTTATCATTCAATTGAGAGCATTCTAAACAAAGCAGGTTTCATAGGACTTTACACATTCTTTCTTAGGCCTGATCACTTCGGGAACCCGCCCTTTCCAGCACAGGGCGGCACCACCCTGTCATTGTTTCAAGCTTAGGTGGAGCAAGGGAACTAAGGCAACCAAGAGATTAGGAGATTTTCTCGCAGACAATGAGGACTCAGGCTATGTCAAAGCCAAGGGGCAAGGGTTCTTCACCCCCTTTTGCTGTAGCCCCCAAAGTCCTTCCTTGGGGGCCTCCCACGTGATCATGTGTCTTAGGTGGTTCCCCCCTTGGGGAATCTTACCCGTCATTGGCTAACCGCCAAGCATGGGGGGGCAGTTATAGATGAAGTAAAAGGAGCAGAAGTGGTTCTCCTGCCAGGGAGATAAGCCTGTCTCCTTGGTAGCTTACGGTTCCAAGGTCATTCCCTTAGCCTTAGCCTTGGGGGGGGGTTACAGCTTCTGATACCAGGCAGGGCGGTTCCCAACACCTCCCCCCAGTATGATGGTGTTTGATTCAGAGATAGGGCCTTTGGGAGCGAATTAGGATTAGAGAGGCCAGAGGGTGAAGTCTCTACGGTGGGATTCGTGCTCTTTTAAGACAAGACACTGGGACAGCCTGGTCTCTCTGTCTCCCCCTCCTTCTCTGTACTGCACAAAGAAGAAGTCATGTGCCTATCTACAAACCGAGGGGAGAAAGAAGAGCCCTCACTGCAAACTGACCATGCTGGTACCCTGATCTCAGAAATCAGCCTCCAGAACTATTAGAAAACAAATGTCTGTTGTTTAAGCCACTCGGTCTACATGGTATTTTGTGTTTGGTTATGGCAGCCCAAGCAGACTACTACAGGAGTGTTTGTATTACTTCATCTTCCCCCATACCCTGGATTACCATTGGCCTCACGGCCCAAGGAAATAGTGCAACTGAATGAAATAATGTCCTTACAGAAAGGGCTCCTTTGTGATGAGTACTAATTTTATTGAATTGCTTTGCACAAGGATCAATTCAAGACAAATGAAGACTTTTGAGTCACTTATTCCCTATTCAAAATGAATACATTTTTAGTTCTACAGATAAATTGCATATTTCTAGAAATGTTGACTTCCCTAATTTATCACACAGAAGAATGCCAAGAAAATTTGTCATTGAAGTTTAGTGACCACAGTGTTAATACTCAGGCATATCTGGAAGTAGTAACAAAAGCACCTTTCCAGTCATTCCTTATAGTTGTGAAATTTTTTAGAATTTGCTAAATGTGTTAATATGCAAAATATTCTTTCCCCAAAAGAAATTCAAGTGAAGTGTCCGTCTCATTTTATGGATGGAGCAAACAGTTCAGAGAAATGAAATGTTTTTTTGCAAGGTAGCATAAAACTAGGACTGAATTTAATGTATTCCATTGAATGAAATTATTTTCTGAGAACTTACTGGGTGCATACTATGGCTCCACCCTAGGCCTTTACCTCCTGTGGTTATAGGAACTTTCAGCAACTGGTGTAGTTTCTTGGCTGCCTTTTGCTACCCCATCCTTAGCTCAGGTTAGCTCTTGGTGCCCGAAAAGACCTGCCTGCCACTGGATTCTGAACCTGCGGGCAGATGAGTGGTGATGCCTCCCCTAAGGGGCAAATTTCTCTCTGCCAGTGTCTATAAAGCGGCTACTGGGACAGTAATTGAAAAGGGTATCTCTTGACATCTGAAGTGTTTGCTTGGGAAGCTCTCCTTCAACTCTTCCCTCCCCCAGTTCATACCCCCACCAATTATTCTGCTTTGTACACAGTAAAAGGGATGTCTGACATCTGTTTTTAGGTCAAAACGAGAGGATGGACAGGCAGCATGAAACCCACAGGCCTTGATTTACTCAGTGTCCTACTTTATCCTGAACCAAACCTTTCACTCACAGTTCAGTTTAGTCATTGGCAGTGAATCAATGTCCCAAGTTCAACATAAGATACTTTGTTCCATGAAGTAGAGAGAGGCAAAAACACAGTCAGAACAACAGGAATTTATAAGGCAAGAAACTATGAAAATAATACCACATTTAACTAGGGAACAGGTGAATTGTAAGTCAAGTTGTTTTTTGAAAAGACACGTGGCACTCAGTCCCAACTTGTATTGACCGCATAAACCAGGAGCAAGGTATGCAGTGCGATTTTCTATGTCCTGGACAAGTGAATTTTTTAAATGTTTTGTTCTGAAAGTTATTTAAATCTACATATCTTGTGAATTTAACACAAAAGTTCACAACATTAGCAACTTAAAGTTTATCTTTGAATTTAAATCCGCAGGTATCTTTTTCTTATTCTTTATACAGCAACCTTGTCTTACTTGATCATCTTTAGATTCATTATGCCCCAGAAATTTAAAAGAAATCATATCCTATATGGGACAAGGGAATAGATGCTTCTAGCACTTTGAAAATATTAAAGTTGTTTTAAATATTTTCAATTGGACTCCACTGGAACCTGTGTGTTAGAATGGTACAGCATTACCAAATCCCAGATATCCCAGTATTTCATTATTAATAGTGCTCCCGGGACAGATCTTGCGCTGGAGCCACCAGCACAGACCCAGCATGCTCTCTGAAATACTTCGCCCTCAGGCTCCTAAATTCAAAGGAAAAATACTAAAATTTTTTTTTACAGAGTACAGGAAAAAAGCATAAAGGTCTATAGATAGAATAACACAGGACTATGTGACAGGGAATTACTGCATTTTAGTTTGGGATCTGAGATTTTAACCAAATAATTTGGTACTTTCAGATTTTAATTTCCTCATCTGTAAAAATGAAGATAATAATTCTTATGTCATATGGTATCTGGAATGATTAGAATGGAAATATTTCATACCCAAATGCTATGAATTGGAAAAAGCAGGGAAACAATTGTTGAGGACTCAAAACGCAACAGGCACTACTGCTACAGCTATGAGGAGCCACTGCAGGTCCACGATTCTGCCGCACTAAACATTTAAATCAAGTCATTAATAAGAATACTTTTAATTCAATTTAAATAATCCATATTTCACTCTAAAAGAAACTCTCTTAGTTTTAATACATTTTTAAGCCTCGCTATTATAAAATCTCAAAAGCAGAGTAAATCAACAGTGGAAAATAAAAACACTTTCTATAAATATTTCCTTCCAAATATGTCTTTTGTTGTCACACTAATAATAATTCATATTAAAAATAATCTGAATAACATTTTACATTGTTTCAAAATACTTTTCAAATGGAACCCTGAATTAGCTCTAAGTTAAATAAGCATACAATTTATAATTTAAAAATAGAAAAGTTTGACACATTGTTATATTTCTACTATTTAAAGACTTTTATAGATGAAGAGTAAATAATTTTATACAATATTTTTAAACATTCTGTTGACAAAGCTTCCTCAAACAGATTTTTAATCCAAAATATCACTATGGGGGTGGAGGGAGGGATTAAATACATTAGAATACGCTGAAAGGACAACTCAGTCTTTCCTAAAAATAAAATTCAGTAAAATCAAGAAAACAATTAAATATTACAGATTATAAGCTTCAGCTGTTATGTGGTTCTTCGAAAACTAAGAATCACATAAGTTATTTTTTTTTCTAGTAACAGCATATGTAACCTTCGTATTTACTTTTAAGAGTAGTCTTATTAAAATATAAATATCTTAAGAGTTTAATAAATGTTTCAATAATGTACTTTGCTATTAGACATACATATAAGTATTTAGGAAGAATCCATAGCATCTTCTGGTTATACATTTAAGGAATCTGACAAGGTCATAGTCTTTTGTTTGACCTTATGTAGAAATAACTTGAACATAGTTAAGACAAATTTGAAATCATTTTGGTGTATAATTGGGTAAGATTTTATTTTTAGTAGTTTTTTATAATTTTATATTAGGAGGATTAGCTAGTTGTGAGAAAAATTAAGTAATTTAAAATTAATACTTGATACTTAAGAGTCTAGTTATATGTGGCATATATGTATTAAAATCAAATAACTAAGCAATAATAGATATTTTGTTTCTCAGGTGAGGTAGATAAATTAAAATATTCTGGAACATAATCTGAACATTAAAAAAAGGAAATAGCAATCACCGATTCAACCTGTATAAATCAGACAGCTGGAGAATTTTTTTATTTTTAGCATATATACCATATCTCTCAAGTACAAGGCCTCTGACAACATTTCTACTTTCCAAAAGCTTGCTAATTTGAAATTCAAGTTTTTCATTTACTTAATGATCATTTAATCTACCTAGGGAATTTTTCTACTCAGATCAAAGACATCTGCAAATAAACCAAAGACTAGTAATTTTTCATTTGTTATGTTTAAGTGGTATTTTCCCTTTTTATACCTCATATAGTAAAATACAGCAGGTAAAGCTATTGCTCTTCAGATGTTATATAATAAATAATTACTTAGATGACAAAGAGTTAATAAAAATTTCAAGGTCTGCTAAAGAATTATGAAGCTCATCATTCATATCTTGACTTCTAAGAAAAATTTTAAGAGTATCTAAAGCAGTTACTGCCTCGGTTTTTGATGGTAAAGGGAGTTCAGTTCCCAGAGATCCACCGTCATCCTCCTCATCAGAAACATAAAATCCAGTTTCGTCTGATTCACTGTCTTTGGTCCATACCTCGTCACCATTCGGTGCTGCTTCACACGTCTCCAGATCATCGTCCAGCGCAGCATACTCTTCTATAGATAAGCCTTCGGGAAATTCCACTCCTGCTGCCTGGGCGTGGGCAACCAAATCGAGGCCAGTGTCAGTCTCTGCATTTGTCTTGTCGCTTTCTCCCTGTTGAGATTTGAATCCTGCCTCTTCATAGCTCTTGACAATGGTCTCAGGGGTTACAGCCCTCCAACAGAGATGCAAGGTATCCACTGCATCTAGCAGGGAAAATGTAAATTCTTTGCTGCCTTCAACAGAACTTAAAAATTTCTTGATAAGACAATGTCGATATTTGATTTTAAGGCTTTTAATAACACCTTGTTTCATAGCTATAAATTTGGAAGACAAACATGATGGGAAAAATGCTAACTCAATGGACTTTAGGTCCTTGACCTCTGGATGTGCAGGAAAAGAATCAACAAAAATTACTACTCTTCGTTGCTGGGCTTGAAATTTCTCATCAAGCTTCCGCATCCACTGTTCAAATACATCTGAGGTCATCCATGCCATTTTGTTAGCTTCATAATACACAGGCAATGATTTTATACCTTTGAAACAATGTGGATTTCTGTTTTTCCCAATGATAAGCAAAGGAAGTTTCTCTGAGCCATCCATGTTTGTCCCAACCACCAGAGTTATTCTGTCTTTGCATAACTTTCCAATTGAGCATGTTTCTCCTTTAAATGCAAATGTATTTGTAGGCAACATTCGATAAAGCAGCCCAGTCTCTTTTATATTAAAAACATTTTTAGGATGATAATCGTTTAAATAATAAGGAAGTACATTTTGGTGCCAAACAGTTGAAGGGTCTGCTGATACACCTGTAGCTTCCACAGGTTGAGCTCTGAATACTAAGCCATACCTGGATTTAAAGCGATCCAGCCATCCATTACTGCACTTAAAATCATTATGTCCCAGTTTCTGGGCAAAATCATTAGCTTTTAGACGCAACATTGGACCATTAACTGGCACATTTAGACACTGAGCAATTCGATACCACCTCATTAATGCCTCTTCCAGATCTGTGTAGAAAGCAGTTCTCAGTCTTTTTCTCTTTGGATCAAATCTCAGAGATTCAAAAGCTTCTAGAACTTTGTCTTTATTCTTCATAATAGAAGACAAAGAATTTTTCTTTATTCCATATTCAGCTGCAATCTCTGCTTTTTTCTTGCCACTTTCTACTGCATTTATGATGTCAATCTTTTCTTCAATGGATAGACTTTTCTTTTTTTTCACTGTTACAGGCAGAGTTGAGGCATCTGCAGAAGCTTCTGCCATCTCACCCAGTGCTTATCCAGAGATTTCTCCTCTTCCTGGGGTTTGTTTCTTTAATTAAGTTGCTTTTCCAGTGTGACACCAATTGCTGCCCTTTCTCCCACTTCATATATTAAAAAGTTAGTACTAAGTCTTATTCCTTAGGAAATTGATGACTAAATATATAGTATTCAATAATTTAGAAGAGAAACTTCCTTCCCAAGACCTTGTGCAGCACAGTTTATAGTCTATTCAGAGTTCCAGAAGTAAGCGAAAATAGAAATCTCATTATGTCAGAGCTGTCCAGTCCTGCTGATGTATTTTTGGAACTTCAGTCCTTTAAGATGATCCATTTTATCCATTCGGGCATTAAACCTCCTGTTAATTCTTCACAAAAGGCCTCAGAGATAAGAGCAAATAACATTCAGAAATTTTTATGCAAAATGTTACCCTTTAATTTCCAAGTCTCTTCAGGGCAGAGAAGAAAACAGTGGAATCCTTCTAGGGCTTGACCGCATATCTTCTGTCTCTTGAAAATGTAAAAAAACAAAAAAACAAAAAATAAACCCCAGCATTTTTAGCAATGATATGTCAAATGAATATCAAAAAGAATATTTATACTAATTAGTTATGCTTTTAATACTAAAAAAGAATGGGAGCGCATTTCTGAAAACACAATAACCAAAGCAGAAGAAATGCTTACCTTCGGAAGGGCCTCTGTATAAAGCTCTTTAGCTCTGCTCTGTCATTTGAATTTTCACTTGCCTTTGCATGGTTTGTAATATATACTTCTGAAATAAACCAGACAAATTTAATCTGTTTTGAAAATGTGTGCTTACCAAAATTAAAGAACTAAAAATGATGCTGGATGTATCTTTGGTAGCTATTTTTTACATGCAGTCACAGACTGCCCCCTCTGACTTCTCTAAAAGAAAAACACAGTCAGACAGCAGTCACGAGGTCCAACTTTTAATAGCACACGGGAGATGGTGTCTCCTTTATCGGAATCTGGTCGAAATCGCAGCACTAGGCCCTGGCTGGGGAGCTCCGCTGGTTAAGCGTTGCCCTGATACACCAAGGTTGCAGGTTTGATCTCTGCTCAGGGCACCTACAAGCAGCAATCAATGAAAGCATCAATAAGTCAAACAACAAAACTGATGGGGGTTTTTTTTCCTCTCTCTCTTTCCCTTTCTCTCTCTAAAAGCAATAAATAAAAACTTAAAAAAAGAAAATGCTTCATTAAAAATCAAATCAAGTGATTTCATTAGTTTAAGAATCTAAATCTTATTCTATCTAAATGTGTGAAAACCTAACTTTATTTTATTGATTTGACACATTAGCCAGATGCACAGAGGCCAGGCAAACTTGACAATGCATAGGAGTAAACAAATTGTTAAGAGGACAATGCAGAAAAAGACCTAGACTAAGAATAAAAGGACAGTGACCATGGGTCTTAACCTCCTCATTTCCTTACCTGAAAAATAAAGGGCCTGCCATAGTGTAAAGATACGGGCTTTGGGCCTAGGCGCACCTGAGTTGACAGGTGACTCTGCCACTTAGTACTTATGAGATCCTGGGTGGTTTACTTAACCATTTGACCTCAGTTTTCTTATTTGTAAAATAGGGGTTAACTACAGTACCTGCCTCAAAGGGTTATTGCACATTCAATGAGATTCCATGAGAGCATGTAAAGCACTGAGCAGAATATTTAGCACCTTACAAGGTGTTCAATGAATGTTTGGTGATGATATCCTCATTCTCATCCTCTCTCTAATGTCCCTTTTGTTAGGTCAGTATATAAAATTCTGGAATTTTACTGTGCAGGGGTCAGCAAAAGTAAGTTTACAGTTTATTCTTATATCATCACTTATTATTGTATTATTTGTTTGTATTACTTGTCTTTTTCCATACAAACAACTATAAGCCGACCTTTGCCCACCCCTGTATATACTAAAAGCAAAGTCTCTTAAACCAGACTGTACCGAATCTACAGGGTTCAGGCCTACTGCAGACCCAGGCAGCAAACTAATTTGACATGTGGGTGTTACTGCTGTGTGAAATCGTGTGGGTGCTCCATCCCTCTAGCTTTTTTCTCTGTCATCCTGGATTTCAAGATGACACATAATTTTCTTTTTACACAAAATTTATTTTTAAAATTGTTGTGAAAATTCTTCTGCCTTTGTTGTCCAAATCAAAAAAGGAATTTTTGTCATAGGAATTACATCCAGTAAGGAAGCTTGCTGTTGTTATTGCAAGAAAGGTTTTAATAATAATTATGAGAACCTAGGCTTTAATTTCCAAACTGCTTTACTTCCTATATTCCAAACAACTCAGGAGGAAGGTGCAAGAGGATTTCAAAACTCATACAGTTATAATGGGCTCGAGTGCAGTCTGGAATCCAGGCTCTGTCTCATGTCAAGTCAGCCATGCTTTTCACTATGTCACAGTGTCCCTGAGTCACACTGGGGTAGCCTCCTCTGATAACAGTTACACATCCCATGCCCCCAGCACCAAGCCCAGTCGGCATTTCCAATGCCTATCCAAACCGAACGACAACCACAAAGGGCAATATCAGACCCCACAGAACAGGCCATTGTGAGTTCTGTGAACACAAATAACCACCGAGGGAAGGATATGACCATTCAACTAAAAAACAAGTACTAATATATGGGATATCCCGTACATTTTTGTGCAATTTCCTACAAATCTACAATTATTTCAAAATAAAAATTTAAAAATATCTTGCTCTTATTAGGAAGACACCAACCTTCAGAAACTGAGGTAGCAAGAACCAACTTTTAAGAAAGACAAAACCAAGGAAAACTACTCTTCAATCTGCCAACTTCACTCTCACTTTTCTTTTGTCCTTCCTTTTTCTTTCTGCCTTATTTCATTTGTCAGAAAGAAACCCTACTATCCCCATTACAAGGATTACAGAAAAAGTAACTTGAATTTCCTCCCTTATACCATCTCAAATGAAGCAATATAATATATATATAATCGAAGGCTACTGGTTATCTTGATCAATTCAATAAGTGATATGTTTAGGGAGATATTGATTATTTTTTCTTATAAGTAATAGTATGTATTTCCTTCCAAAACAGTAGTCAAAGCTACAATATTCCCTGGTAAGATACAATATATCTTTATTACTGAAATAACCACATGTCTAATGCTAAATTGGAGAAGCTAGACTTTTTCCCTAGAAAAGAATAAGGCACCTAGTGCCTAATCAATGAAGCTGACATTTTGCATTCTCCCACAATATTACATCTGAGAGAATGGCAGCAGCAAATATTTCTCAGAATTATTCATTCTCTCAGTTAGGCTCATTAATCATTCTACCCCTTGAAAATATTACAGCAGAGAAGTGCTGTATTACCCATTAGAGCCTATTTTCTCTTTGTGAACAATGGAGCTAACTAAAGAAAACAATGGTCAATTCTACTGGTAATAATAGAATTGTAAATCTCCTTTCAAAATAGGAGATACCTTTTTGGTTTTGGTTTTTGCCTGTCGGAATGGTAGTATCTAGTGTTCTCTTGGATGCTGTAACATAGGTTATTGGGAGGCATATAAATTGGTACAAAGCTCATGGAGGGCAAATTAGCAACAGGATACAAAAACCTTAACAATGCACGTAACTTTTATTCAGCAAGTCCATTACCTAGGATTTTCCCCCCAAATAATTATAGATATAAAAATAATCAAGTTTACAAATGTATTCATTTTTGATTGTTGCATAACAAAATTACCACACATATAGTGCTTAAAACAAGAGTCATTTATTATCTCACAGTTCTGTGGGTCCAGAAGTCCAGTGGGCTCAACTGGGTCCTCTGCTTAGGATCTCACAAGGCAGAAATCCAGATGTCAGTCATGCGGGACTCTTATCTGGAGGCTCTGGGGAGTACACTGGCTTCCGAGCTCATTCAGGTTATTTGCAGACTTCAGCTCTTTGTGGCTGTAGGACTGATGTCCCTGGTTTTTTGTTGGCTGTCAGCAGAGACTGCTCTCAGCTCCTGGAGGCCTCTGTTAGGGGCTTGCCTGTGGCCTTCTTCATTTCAGCAACAGAGAACCTTCCTCATGTCAAATCTCGCTCACATTTCCAATCTCTCTGACTTCCTCTGCTGCCACCAACAGGAGAAAACTCTCTGCTCTTTAAAGGCCCATGTAATCAGTGCAGGCGCACCCAGATTAGTTCCCCTTTGATGAACTCAAAGTCAACTGATTAGTAACCTTAATTACTGTCTTTTGCCGTGTAAATGGTGCATTTTTTTGCCCAAATTTTTGAGGGAAAAATAAGGATGCATATTATACATGGGTATAATGATTAATACCATGAGTAACAATAATCCCATGTATACTGTGCACAGAAACATGAGTGTGTATTATACATGGCAAAATACGGTATATCTGCAAAATCCTTTTTGAATGTAATGTAACATAATCATGGGAATGATATCCTCTCACATTCACAAGGGAGGGAATTATACAAGGTGAGGATCATTGGGAATCATCTTAGAATTCTGCCACACTATAATATTCCTCAGTTATTTTATAATTACAGACAAGATTGGAAATAACCTAAATGTGCAACCAAAAGTATTACATAAATAAATTAAGGAAAATCTATATGCTGAAATACTACTGAGCCACTACACATTATTTGATGATATGAGGAAAATTTAATGCTTTATTAAGTGAAAGAAGCAAAATACAAAACTGTATACCAACAGATACAACAGATACTGAAAGTGACATAAGGCCAGGGGCTCATGGCTGTTCCTAGAGAGCTTGGTACCAACAAAAAAAGGTTCTCACTAATGATATGTTAAACAAATGAAGAAAAAATATATACACATAGAAAAAAGGCAACTAAAATGTTAAATGTTAACTCTAGGTAATGGAATTACGAATAACTTCAGTTTTTTTTTCCCTTTGTAGTTAAAACCATGTCTACTCTTATGTTCTACTCATTCTACTGTTCAAGGGCTTCTTTAAATGTTCCATTAATCAACTGGGACTCAAATCAACAATGTGGACCAGAAGGAAGAAATAGACATTCAACTGGAACAGAATGAAGAAACAGAATGAAAAAAACAGAGAGGCTTAGGAACCTCCAGGACAACTTTAAGCACTCCAACATCCAAATCATAGGGGCGCCAGAAGGCGAAGAGGAAGAGTAAGATACTGAAAACTTATTTGAAAACATAATGAAGGAGAACTTCCCCAATCTGGCAAAGGAAATAGACTTTCAGGAAGTCCAGGAAGCTTAGAGAGTCCCAAAGAAGTTGGACCAAGGAAGCACAGAGCAAGGCACATTATAATTATATTACCCAAGATTAAAGATAAGGCGAGAGTCTTAAAAGCAGCAAGAGAAAAGGAGACAGTTACCTAAAAAGGAGTTCCCATTAGACTATCAGCTGATTTCTCAAAAGAAACCTTGTAGGCAAGAAGGGGCTGGAAAGAAGTATTCAAAGTAATGAAAAGCAAGGACCTATATCCAAGATTACTCTGTCCAGCAGAGCTATCATTTAGAATGGAAGGACAAATAAAGTGCTTCCCAGAGAAGGTCAAGTTAAAGGAGTTCGTCATCACCAAGCCCCTATTATAGGAAATGTTAAAGGAACTTACCTAAGAAAAAGAATAAGATCAAAACTATGAACAGTAAGATGGCAACAAACTCACAACTATCAACAACTGAACTTTAAAAAAAAAACAAAAATAAACTAAGCAAACAACTAGAACAGGAACAGAACCACAGAAATGGAGATCACATGGAGGGTTATCAGTGGGAAGGAGGAGGGAGAGAATGGGGAAAAAGGTACAGGGAATAAGAAGCATAAATTGTAGGCACAAAATAGACAGGGTGAGGTTAAGAATAGTATGGGAAATGTAGAAGCCAAAGAACTTATATGTACAACCCATGGACATGAACTAAGGTGGGGGAATGCTGGTGGGACTGGGGGTTGCAAGGTGGAGGGGGATAGAGGGGGGGAAATGGGACAACTGCATTAACATAATCAATAAAATATATTTTTAGAAGTGTTCCATTAATCAGTATCCTCTAATAAAGAATTTGTTTCCAGAGAATTACACTGTGCAATCAGTAACTACATATTTTTCCATAAAAAGGGAACTGTTAATAAAGTGATGAAATTATTACATTACCAGAATTCCCCTAAAAAAGATCTGAAGATAGTACCTCTTTCTTTTCTGTTGAGGAAATAATATTGATAAGTAGTATACAGTATTCAAAATCTAAGGCAAAGAAACAAGGTTACATTCATATTTACTTCATTCATAAAGGAATAATAGCAATAACCTTTAACCTGTTGCCTCTTTCCTTCTGGTCAATAAATGAAAGGTAGGCTGCCAGAGTTCCTCACAAGCTAAATGAATAAATGGTACCTGGTTTTTGGAAAGCTGAATAATAGCCAATAATAGTACAAAGGTAAATAAGTAGAAAATCCCCCTGTCATAAGCATACACAGCAGGCAGCTATTCCCTTTTTTTTTCTCTCTCCAAACATTGCCAACTGAGAGAAAAATAGTTGTCATCTATTCTTCCTGAAAACTGGCAAGTAGAATTCCCGAAGCTCTAGGGGAAAGGGGGGAGAGAGATGAGGGAGGGAGGGAGGGAGAGAGGGAAGGAAGGAAGGAGGGGGGAGAGAAAGAGAGAAAGAAAGAGAAAGAAAAGAAAAAAAAAGAAAAGAAAAAAGAAAGAGGAGGGAGGCAGGGAAGTGGTTAAGGAAGAAATAAAGGAAAAAAGGAAGAAAGGAGGGAGGAGCCCTGGCTGACATAGCTCAGTGGATTGAGGGTGGGCTGGGAACCAAAGTATCACAGGTTCAATTCCCAGCCAGGGCACAGGCCTGGGTTGCAGGCCATAGCCCCCAGCAACCGCACATTGATGTTTCTCTGTTTCTCTCTCTCTCTCTCTTTCTCTCTCTCTCTCCCTCCCTCCCTTCCCTCTCTTAAAAAAAAAAAGAAAGGAGGGAGGAAAGAAAGAGGAAGGGAAAAATGTTTCCATCTAAGCAAAAAGAAAGAGGAAGGGAAAAAATGTCTCCATCTAAGCAGGGCTACATTTAAAATAAGGTCTTTCTGGTAGTATGAAAAACTCCCCAAAGAAGGTACATAGACTGTCACTGTTTTCCATCACCAGCTGAAGCAGCTTCCAGTGTTTTCTTCAAGCCAACCTGCCTTCTAATTCCTCTTGGAGCAGGAGAAATCATTGGTAAGATTAATCCTGTACATAGCCTTGCACAGCATTACGCTATGTATGAGGACTAATTATACACAGGGCCAGAATCACACTAGACTAAAAAGTACCTGACATGAAGAATAACACCTTCACCAAGTAGAAGTTAGCATTAGTTTCAAATGGGTTCAAGTCCATCAGAATCTCTATCAAAACCATTAGCAGCTTCCAAGGACACCATCCAGCTAAGGAAAAATAACTAGAACAAGTGGCCATCTTTCTAACATACGAAAAACCTCTCAGTGTAACAGACTAATAGACTAACTATAACGCAGCTACACGACCCCAAACTCAAGACAACTAGCAGGAATCCTTAGGGTACCAGCCAGCTCAAAACAGTTAAGTACATGTCACTCAAGAACCGCCAGCACTGCCTTGCACCTCCTCCTCCTGGTCACCCTTTTGGGACTTCAGAACACTTGTACTTAGCTACCAAATTCCGTTTGGTTTCTATACAGTAAGAGCAGGAATTATTCTAATTGGGATCCTTTTCTTATAACTGAGAAGACTAACAAGATGGCTTTGAACAAAAAAGTCCAGAGTAAGCTATAGAACTTAAGTTACAGTTTGAGTGAACTGGCATATATTTGCTTTCCTTTTAAGAACAGAGCTATGTAAGATAAGAGTCCTTTACGTACAAATTTATGTTTTAGAATTTCAGCACTGTTTTTTGCCAGAGGAGGTGTCCTGGAGATTTCAGAACATGAATATATATATATATATATATTTTTTTTTTTTACCTTTGAAACATTTTTAGTGTCATGGGTATTTACTATTCATGGATATGGGGAAGATAACTGTGCAGGGATATATTGTACTGTTCACTGTGTTGAAACTCCCTAGAAATTTGAAGAGGCAGAGTCTGCCTTTGGGCACTTATGAAATAAGTTACGAAATACATCTTGTTAGTGAATGTGACAAGGAAAGGCAGGTGAGAAATATGGTCTAAAGAAGGATAAATCCCACGGAGTGCACTGTTACGTTTCGCCTTTCCACAAGTGAAATGGGGGTTAAAAAAAAAAAAGAAAGAAAGAAAAAGAAAAAAAGTGGCCACGGCTGTCAAAGGAAAAGCAGTCCAGAACCTTGAAGGGAGACGTGTGTGGGCGAGCCAACTCTGTGTACAGTATGTAAGAGCTTCACGAATGTCTAGCACCATTGCGAGGTCATACATTCCCTCTAGTCAGCGCTGGAGCTAGGGAGAGTATCCCGAGTCCAGTTTGGGGCCTCAATTTAGGAAACTACAAAGGGATCTAAGAGAAGGGATTGTTGCGCGGTTTCTGCAGACGGGGCAATGATCTTATGTAAAGGGCAAACAAAGAAAGGAGAAATCAGTTGTATGCGTAAAGAAAGAGAAGCAGGAAAGAGCAATATCGGGAATCCACTGTCAGCGAGGGAGCAGTGCAGAAACTGATCACAAAGACAGAGCAAGTAACAAGAATACAGGGATGGGGGGCGTGGGTGGTCTGGTCTTCCTGAAAGGCGTGAGCGTGAGTGACGTAGCGGGAGGGGGCTCTCCAGGCACTGAAGAAGCGGGGCGGGGGCGGGGCCGGGGGGTGAGGCGCCTGCATCCCACCTGTTCTCTAACCCCGCATTCCCTCCACCCTCCCACCCTCCGCGGGACTGGAACAACCTCCGTACTCTCCCGCAGCTGAGAAAGAAGCTTCGGCTTTCCGGTGATTTGCTGATTTGCGTGGCGGTGAGCTACGTCCACTTCCACCCTCCCGCCACCAGCTCACCGTCTGTTGGGAGAGATGCCTAACGCGTGAAGCTGGGGTGTGTGAGTGAGAAAGAAGAATGCCGAGGACTCCCGGAGACCTCCGACCACTCAAGATCAGGCCCGCGCGCCCTTCCGCAAGCTCCCAGCTCTGGCCAGTGCCTCGGAACCCTCGCACACACCCCTCTGTGATCCCGCAGCAGTCAGAAAATTACCAGGGCAACGGCACCAGCAAAGCCCCGGATGTGGTTGCTAAGGCCGCAGCGAAAGGGGCGGGGCCAGCCTCCGGGAGAGGGGCGGAGGGTCTCTTGGGAGACGCGCTGGCACCATAGAGACGTGGCCGGCTCTACGAGATTGAGGGAGAGGACGTCCAGAGCCAAGGACAGCGTTACTTCCGGTTTCTTCACTTCCGGCTCCGCTGTTCGCGTCGTAGGCCGGGTTGGGAGGTCCCCTGTCTGTGTCCTCGTCGGTTGGTCAGTGAGAGGCTGTGACAGCTGCATTAGCTTCCCGCCCCCGAGAAGCCGAGGTGCCTGGGGGGAGGGGAAGAAGGAAAAGGCCCAGGTCGCGTTTCCGCTCACTCCTTCCCAGGGTTAAGATCTTTCCGGAGAGCAGTGGCAAGGATCTTCCTCGACGTGAGAGCTGCCAGGTTCCCAGCAGACAGGTGAGGGCGGAGCTGGCCCACCTGGAAGCAGGCGGAGGAAGGCTAGTCTGAGTGGTGGCTGTGGCGGACACGTTGCCTTTGGGGTTCCGGACATGCACAGGACACTTCTATGCTTAGTCTTTGGCATGTTTGCCCAAGTGTTCAGTTTTTGGTTTCTGCCCTTTCATTCCTCCAGTCCTCCCTGAGTGTGTCCCCCGAAGTAGCTGGGTGAAGAGGGACGCCTGGCCCTTACAGGGCGGCACCCTCTTGGCTTTGCATGCATTGGGTGGGAAGAGGGGTTGCAGGATCCAGGTCTTTCTCAATTAAGTCTCAGAGTGGGCCACCTTCAGGCTTGGTGTCCATCCTTTAAGTCTCTTCTCTCCCTGCATCCCCCACTTCCTTTCTCCCTCAGTGCGAGACGGGAGACAGTGATAGTCCCTCCGAGAGTTTCTCCGGGCAGTAGTGCAGGAGAAGCCTTGCTTATGAAATGTCCCAAGCCCGACTGCTCGTGGGAACGTCCAAGAAATGCTGGAGTTTGGGAGGGAGGTTGTGCTGTCGTTCCTCTTTGCCAAGTTACTGCTGTTTACGTGTCTAGGAAAAGGAGAGATTTTTTTTAAAGAACTGTTTCTAGATGCTTTTTCCTTTTACTTTATTGTTACTTCCTTTTTTTGTTCTTATCTTTCTCCAGCATTTTGATCTCAAAAAGTGTGTAGTTTACATTTCCTGCAAATCCTTTAGCCACCTCCCTTTTTAGGATTTCTGTTCCCGTGCCTTAGTCATCTCCTAAAGTATATACTTTCTCTAACTTGGTTCTTATTTGATAAGGAAAAGTGGAAGATATGCAAGACTTTTCATAAACTTGTGCTTTGACCTGCAAGGGTGTGTTCACGTTTATCGCTTAATTAACTTCATTGGCATGGAAATGGGCACCAGAACCGGTTACTTTAAATGAGTCTTGTGTTAAGGTTGCAGGAATTGGCCATGGCATTGCTGCTCTCTCAGAGTGATTACAACACACTATATGTTAGTACTGTTTTAATCCACTTTTTTTCCCCGTTTGTCCTGTTTGTTTTCCTTGCCTAGCATGACCAACACCCTCTCCCAGCCACCACGGTCTGACGCTAGAAAGTATTTCTAATCTTATTTTATTTTTTAGATTAAAATCTCTGCCTCACTTTCATTATTTTTCAAAGTAATAAATTATCTTAATCTTGGGTTATGTCTGTGACTCAACCCCAACTCTGAAATTATGTGCAAAGTTTTGTGTGAGTGCATTTTGGCATCGGGGAGGGTCCATTCTTTTTATCAAATTCTCAAAGGAGATATATAACCTCCAGATAGTGTGTGTATGTGTGTGTGTGTGTGTATATACAACATATATGTATGCTGTGTATATATATGATATATAACCCCCAGATGTATAACCATGTCTTAGTGTCTTGTTGAAGTTAATGGAAACTTTTGTGGGGCTTTATTTTTCAAAATTTAAATAGCTTGTTTGGGGAGAGTAGAATGCAGAGATTCTAGCTTTATACTGAAATCTCTCTAACTACTTCAAAACATCACTGTTTCTAAATTCCTCCCTACACCTAGAGAAGGAAGTAAGTTGCCTACTTTAGTTCCTGATTTGTGGTTCTGAGGTTTCTTTTTAAGGATAGCTATTTGTGGCCAATGCCATGAAGATACAGTGTGTTTATAAATTAATGTGTTTATTAGTTTTTAAGTGCATATTATATATCACCAACCTAGATACAGTTCAGTGTAAAAAATAAATTCTTATTGCACTTTGCACTCGTTTTCTTGTTTTTCACTTTAGGCATCCACTTTGGGCCTTGGCTTTGCCCAAAAGGATGGGCAAATAAGATGTTTCATAGTGTTGTCTATAAGCTTTCAATATACTTTTGCTTATCATAACATCCCCTTTCCCACCATTCTATAATAAGTATATTAATGATTGTTCTCTCTTTTGAATAAGTTAGTACCCTTCTAAACCTAATGCAAGTTTAGAGTGCATATTTGAACTTACTGATTTGGTTGTGCAGTATGTGTTGATGAAGGATTAAAGTTCTAAATGGTTTACATTTGTTTTATAGAATGTTAGAACTTGAAGAGACCTGTATAGCTTATCATAGTCTGTATACAGTAACCAGTTTCTTCTGCTCACAGAATAAAATAATTTTCTGTCTAACACCCTCACTTGAGGAGGAGCAGAAAACATAACTTTACAAAGAGTAAATTATACTATATTAGTTTCCTTCTAATGTAATGACGGAATCAGGCAATGTGGCGTTATATCATAACACCGTAGCAACAATTAACATTCATTTGCTTACTGTGTGGCAAGCATTATGCTACATGCTTTGCACAATGATCTCATGTAATTTTCACAGCAACCTCAGAAGACAGCTAAAATTCCCATGTTTATAGATGAAGAAACTAAATGATTACTATGAAACTAAATGATTAACTGAAGCTAAAGTAATCTGCTCAGGATTACACAGATGGAGCCAGAAGTGAACCTAGGTCGTCTGACTCCCGTTTATGAGCCCTTAGCTACTGCTCTAGACAGTTTCTATCATATTTTCTTTACATCTTGTTTGGCCTGAGTTAGAGGTATCTCACCTGCTTTTTTGTCAGCCATTAAGAAAATAAGATATTTTCTTTTACTAATCTACAGTGGACAAACACCTGGTTGAAGTCACACGGAAAAGTAGGACAAAGAGAAATAAATTTGGAGTGTTATTTGATAGACTTTTGCCATGGGGATGGATATAAATGTGTGTGTGTGTGTATTATGACATGAGGAGTAGAAAATGTGAAAATAAGGATTTTAAATAATAAACTCAGCATTGTGAGAGTCGAGAGGTACGTATACAGGGTCCGGCAGAAGTAATGCCTGCCTGAGTGGTTGGTAGGGTAAGAACATGGGTGTAAGAATTTATAGCTTTAATTTGAACATTTTGGCTAAAATGTCATATGGTGTGCTTGAGTGTGATATTGTTATAGAATTACATGCTTATGATTTTGCAACAAAGGTTTTGTAATAAAAAAAGGCATTATTTGTGCCAGACCCTGTATATTCCAGAATGATAGATTTGGGATAGAGTAAGCTATAAATTCAGGACAGGGGAAGGAGTAAATTCCACAGAGAATTTATGATAATACTTCTATGGGTGAAGAACTAACAATATATGTACAGACTGGAAAGAGTGGTTGCACATAATATGGAAGATGACGACTTAGGGACCATGACAGTCTCAAAGTCAGATATGTACCAGCATTAGTTCTAGCGTGTGTGAAGAGTACTGTAAAACAAAAGAATCTGCAAATAATCTTATCTTTGGTCTCAACTAGCTTTAGGCTGTCATGGAAGCCACTGAACAGCGCTTGTAGAATCTCAGCTATTCGTTGCTAGACAAAAGTATATTTTTTTTCCTTTATTCCTTTTCCCTTTGTTCCCTCTATCTTACTGTTATTCCCCTCTCCTCCGTTACTTTTAAACCTTCATCTTCGGATGGCTATAGGCAGGTGTTGCTGGAAATTGCTCATATCTTTTGTGAAAATGTGGCAATATCATTGCCAGCTCTCACCAAAGAGTTTTTTTCTTTCATTTTTGTATATCTCTGACAGCTTTGGGCTAGCAGCTCTTCAATGTTCAAGCTTTATCCTCTTTTACCCTTTGGAAAACTGTGACACACCATCTTTGGAGCAGGATCGTAAGAGTAGCAGAATTGGATGGTGAACCCTAAATCATCTGGGGGAGAGAGTAAGTTCGCCAGCTCATTTCTGCTAGCATGAAATAGTGCTTCAGACAGGTTTTCCAAACTTTCCTGCATCGTGGCACTCATGGAAAATGGTTATATTTGTATGACAGGCTGAGCCAGGCCCTCCCTGGCTCGCTGGAGGCAGAGGGGGCAGGGAGAGAGGGTCAGGATTTCACACATCTGTGATCCATCCTCAGCACGCTGAATGGAAGGAAAGCTTTGGCCTAAAGAGGAATCTGTTACTCTTTGTTTAATACCTTCTGTTTATTCAACATATAATGATTTACAAAGCACTTTGACATACATTCTCATTTTATTTTTATTCCACTTATGTCAGGACATTATGTTATGTAGGTAGGACAGATAACATTACCATGTTAGACATGAAGAAGTTGAGATTTTAGATCAAGTTCTTTGTATGAGGCCACACGTAATAGGGATGGGTCAGGTAGTCAAAACCCAGGTAGAAAGAGTCCTTGGGGGTTAAGCAGTGGCAAGTGACCTCCAGAATGGCCAGGATCCTGTCTGTTTGGTTTCAGAGTGCTACCTCCAGCATCTAGGACAGCTCTAGGCACGAAGTTCATCATAGCTGTCATTCATTGAGTGCTACTCTGACTAGGCATTATGCTTTATAAATGCTATCTGTGTATTAGGAATTCTTACTTTCTGGGAACAAATGAAGGAATAGGTGTAAAAAGCAGCAGGAATATTCAGTCCAA